GAGGCTGCAGAGGGGTGCAGCTGATTTGGGCAAGGGGGAGATGCTTCTGACTTGCTACACCGACGCCAGCTTCAACTCTGTGAAGGCGGATGGCACCACCATTGGAGGCTATGTGTGCCTGTTTGGAGGTGGTGCAGTGAGCTGGCGCAGCAAGAAGCAGAACGAGGTGGGGCAGTCCTCGTGTGAGACAGAGTACATGGCCCTGCATCATGGGGCAAAGGAGGTGGCGTGGCTGAGGCGTTTGTTGGAGGAGATCGGAGTGTGCCAGAGGGAGCCGACTGTGATTTTCTGTGACAATGAGTCGGCGGTGAAGCTAGCGAAGAATGCTTGTCTTCATGGGCTGACCAAACACATCAGGCCTAAGTGGCATTGGGTGAGGAGGCTCCTGGACAAGGAGGTGCGACTGGAGATTGTGAAGACCCATCAGCAGGCGGCTGACATTCTCACCAAGCGTCTGGCTGAATCTGAGCATTGGAAGGGCATGAAGCTTGCTGGAATGAGTGTCTATTGAGGGTGCATGATTGAGCTATGGCATGTGGGATGATGGTAGGCAGCCAGAGGGGGAGTTTGTTATGTGATGCTATCATTTGCATTCACGTCTGTCTGCCTCCCATCATGTGTTCGTGCGTTGCATGTATGAAATGAGCGTGCGCAAGAATTTGTGTTTTCTGTGTTTTGGATTTTCTGAGTATGTGTGAATGTTATTTGGCTTGAGCAGATATCTGAAGTGACTCCACTGCTCAAGAGCTTTCCGACGAACCAATAATCACTTCAATCGGAGCACGAACAAGAAAGTTACGAACGTTGGAGTTCGTATGCTTTTGATATCTGGTTGTGGTGACTATGGGAAGTTGTGGTGTTGACTCAATATGGGGTACAGACTTTTGGGGGTTGGGAAATTCGTCAACATCACTGTAGATGCTGCCAAGTGGTTGGGAGAAACCAAACCAGGTTGGCAAGTGTGGCCAAGTTGGGTTGAGGTGAATTGTGGAGGTTGGGAAAGTGACAAAAGTGAAAGTGGGGTTGCCTATGGAGAGGGGAATTGTGTGACATGGGGTTTCCTTGGTTGGGAACTCTCTTGGGACCTTCCCTCTCGTCCTCCTCATCCCATCCTACCTGGTTTAGTGCTACTCTAACTCTCTTGTGTGTAACTCTTGAGAACTTGAAACTATTGTAAGTGAATTAAGTTTCTATGTGGCAGCATACCCCCTGGTGCGCCGAGAAGCATAACTCGAGATTTACTCCATCTTTCGATACGATTCAAATTGGGAATGATAGCCACGGACAAGGGCTATAACATACTCAAGTTTGAGACGATTCTAACTGTGCACTTTTCGTCGACAACGTTTCTTGTGAAGTCGCGGTTTCTGTCCAGAATTTCAAGCCAACGATTTTGAGAATTTTAGCCACCTAATCTTCGTAGACTCCATCCTTAGTCTCTAACACTCTTGGCACGGACGTCCTTGAGGATAGGCAGGAGGAGTTTTAGTGTCTGGCTGCTGCTTCACCTCATCTCGTGTCCGTACTGCTTACCCCTGAGAGAGACCCGGATGCACTTGACATCCCAACTCCGCGCTCTTACGCGGAGGCCGTAGAGGGTCCCTACTCCTCTCAGTGGCAGGGAGCTATCGATGCAGAGATGGCATCGTGGAAGTCCACAGGCACCTACGTTGACGCGGTTCCTCCACCTGGGGCGAACATCGTCAGTGGCATGTGGATCTTCAAGGTGAAGCAGCCACCAGGTTCTCCACCTGTCTTCAAGGCGCGGTACGTGGCTCGTGGCTTCAGTTAGCGGCAGGGAGTTGACTACTTTCAGACCTTCTCTCCCACCCCGAAGATGTCCACTCTTTGGGTGCTGCTGCACATAGCCGCTCAGCGCGACTACAAGCTCCACTCTCTTGACTTCAGCACTGCTTTCTTGTAGGGTAGCCTGCACGAGGAGATCTGGCTGCGCCGTCCACCTGGCTTCACTGGGACTTTTCCTCCTGGCACCTAGTGGAGCCTCTGACGGCCAGTCTACGGTCTCCGCTAGGCACCGCGTGAGTGGCACGACACATTGAGGACTACGCTTGCGGCTCTTGGGTTTGCTCCCTCTACTCCCGACCCGTCGCTGTTTCTACGCACCGACACCTCTTTGCCGCCGTTCTACATCCTCGTGTACGTCGACGACTTGGTCTTTGCCACTGCTGACACTGCTGGACTCGCCCACGTGAAGTCCGAGCTGCAGAAGAGAGACACGTGCACAGACTTGGGTGAACTGCGCAGCTACCTTGGCTTGCAGATCACCCGGGACAGAGCACGCCGCACCATTACCCTGACTCAGTCACACATGGTGCAGCAGGTCCTTCAGTGCTTCGGCTTCACGTACTCCTCGCCTCAGGCCACTCCTCTGGCTACTCGCCACTCGCTCTCAGCTCTGCCTTCGGATGAGTCCGTAGAGTCGAGTGGCCCGTACCCAGAGCTTGTTGGCTGCCTCATGTACCTGATGACCTGCACACGACCTGACCTTGCATACCCTCTTAGCATTCTTGCACGCTATGTTGCTCCTTGGAGACAAAGACCGGAGCACATGGCTGCAGCGAAGAGGGTGTTGCGCTACTTGTGCAGTACGTCGGGCATTGGGCTAGTGCTTGGAGGGCAGAGTCCAGTGGTCCTCACTGGACACGCAGACGCTTCTTGGGCTGACGACCAGGCTACACAGCGGTCGTCACAGGGTTATACCTTCAGCCTTGGTTCCGGCTCTATTTCGTGGCGGGCTACTCGCTCGTCTTCCGTTCTCGGCTCTAGGTGTGAGGCTGAGATCTACGCCGGAGCCATGGCTGCTCAGGAGCTTCGCTGGCTCACCTACCTGCTCACTGACCTTGGAGAGCCGCCTCGTTCTCCTCTAGTGCTGTACGTGGACAACAAGGCCATGCTGGCCTTGTGTCGGGAGCAGCGCCTTGAGCACAAAACGAAGCACATTGCTCTCCGCTACTTTCTTGATCGTGAGCTGCAGCAGCGTGGTCAGTTGCAACTTGCGTACGTGGCCTCTGAGGCCAACACTGCTGATATCTTCACTAAGGCACTTCCGCCTTGTGATCATCAACGCTTCTGTTCTCAGCTTGGTCTTGTGCCTATCTTGGCTCACTTGCTCACTTCTTGACCTTGCTTGTACTGTCACATATATATGCTCCTACTCTTGTTTGTTTAGACTTTTTATATATATATGTGCTCCTGCATGTGAACTGGCCTACTGGCCTTAAACTTGTGCTCGGAATGTGTGGTGACTTCGTGATCCACCCTGAGCTTTGCTTGACTGGTCTTGTAACCCCTTGTTCTCGCCCACTTTGCCTATGGGGGTGTGTCAAATTATAATGTTGTTTAGGCTGTAGTGGGGTAGCCTATATGGGGTACACATTTCTAGGGCTGCATATTTGTACCACTTTCATTCGTTACTGCATCATTCTCGTTTTAGTTTTCTCAAAGGGAACGGGTTAGCTAGCCATAATATAAACCTCGCGTGTGTGAGCAAGGCGATGCGAGGTTTACTCGGCAGAGTGGGTGGGTGGAGGAGAAGTGCCATAGCACGGCACGAACGAAGGTGGAGAGCGAAGAGCTTGGGTGGATGGTACCGAGGAGGTGGTTGGACGGTGGAGTGGAGAAGAGAAAACATGGCACGAACAAAGGAGGAGAGGAGAGGGAGGTTGGGTGGGTGGTGGTGGTGGATGGATTGCATGGTGGTGGAGAGGAATCGTGGCACGCACGAACGAAGGTGGTGAGAGAGTTGCTTGCTTACGCTGGAGTGCTTCAATCCCTTTGACGTGCTTTGGTTAAGTTTGTTGTGTTAACGGGAATGGAGTGTTGGCCCTGCCCACGCTTGGGCAACGCCAACAACTTGGTCGGATGTACGGGAGTAGCAGCCGACTGCTCACAATGGGATAGTTGCTCGACAGGTTCCGACGAGCTACAGCGGACCGGTGTGGTGTTGCTGTCGACCAGGATGCTCGACAGCTGCAACTGACTGGCTTGGGCGACGGGTGAGCCGTCCGGGAGGTCGACGAAGCAGTCCGTCGACCTACTGTTCGACGGGGAGGTCTATGGAGCATCCCGTCGAACTGTAGTTCGACTGGGAGGTCGACGGAGCAGTTCTGGTCGACAGAAGGGGTCCGTCGACCAAGGGGTAGCTCGACGGGAGGTGTGGTCGACCAGGAGCGCCCGGTGGTCGACCAGATGGACCCAGTGGTCGACGGGAGGCACCTGGGAGTCGACCGGAGCACCAGGGGTTGACCAGGTCGACCGGGTAACCTGCTCGACGAGTTTTGCGGAGGCACGCGAACGTCGTCGAGATCGCGATTGTTGGAGGTTGCGTGGGGCTAGGTTTTGCCCCCAACCACCGAACGGTGCTGCTTTTTGGTTCTCACCTTCGAGTGAGTTGCAGGTTTGCGTGGGGTTGAGGATTGACTTCGGAAGACCCATTCCATTCGGTGCCACATGGCAGCACCAGGAACATTCGAGACCCAAGGAGAATTCGGATCGGTGAAATTCAAGAGTCGAATTTCATCCTTTCGATGTTACTCGAACATTCGCGAGTGTAGCGGCTCAAGGTTACTTGTGCGATTCGATCTTGTTTGCATGCTATAAATATGTTTTCTTTGTATTGCATGCCAATATAGTGAAACTCAAGTTCTTTGTACAAGGTACATTCGAACACAAATTCCAGAGAGCTCCTATCCTTCAATCTAAGAGCACTACCTAGCACATAAACGGCGATATCTCGCTCGATACTTAGGCGAACGAGGTGATCTACGGCCCGTTGGAAAGCTAGCAGAGTACTCTACTGTTTAGAACAATTCTCAGTTCCTGCAAAGTAGAGGAGAGTCCTCTACAACAGTGGTATCAGAGCTGGTTGGAGGAGTCTACGCGCGCGACAAGGAGCACGCATGATGACTTCAAGCGAGGCCTCCCGCACTTCCTTGGATGGTGTCGTTGTAAATTCCGGCGAACCCTGGGCAACCGCGACGATGTTCGACACGTCGGCAGTACCGATTTTCACGGGACAAAACTACTCCGCGTGGAAGTTTAAGTTCCAAGTGCTCATGATGGAGCGGGGACTTTGGGGTTTCTTCGATGGAACGGAGAAGAAGCCGGACGATGAGAGCGGCATCACGGCATGGAAGAAGAAGGACCAAAAGGCGTTCGCTACGTTGATTCCGCGCATCGGCATCAATCTCGTGAGCTCGGTGCGCATGTGCATCAAGCTCGAAGCGTCGGCGCATGAAGCGTGGAAGCGGCTCGAGACCATCCACGTGAACAAGACTCTCCACGGCAAGATCCTAGCCCGGAATGCGTTCTACACGGTGAAGATGCGCGCGGGCGAATCGATGCACGAGTATGCGACTCGTGTGGAAGAACTCGGGGAAATGTTCATGGACCTCGGTGGAACGGTCACGGAGGAGGATTGGATTTTGACCTTGCTATGCGGCCTTCCGGAAGAGTGGTCGACGGTGATTACAACACTCGATAGCATGCAAGACACTTGGACGAAGGAAATGGTGGTCGGTCGGCTTCTCCATGAAGAATCGCGTCGCCGACAATTCGCGTCTAAGAGCACTACCTAGCACATAAACGGCGATATCTCGCTCGATACTTAGGCGAACGAGGTGATCTACGGCCCGTTGGAAAGCTAGCAGAGTACTCTACTGTTTAGAACAATTCTCAGTTCCTGCAAAGTAGAGGAGAGTCCTCTACAACAGCGATGGCGCAGGCGACTTCGGGTTGGTATCCCGAAGTCGATGTGGCTCGTCAGGCGCAGACAACAGCCGACGGATGCCCAACAAGGCAAGTCGGGCCAATCGTCTGCGCGCATCTGCGATTGCGCGCACTGCTGTGTTCTACGGGGCAACGCTGGACAGTGTTAACGGGAATGGAGTGTTGGCCCCGCCCTCGCTTGGGCAACGCCGACAACTTGGTCGGATGTACGGGAGTAGCAGCCGACCGCTCACAGTGGGATAGCTGCTCGACAGGTTACGTCGAGCAGCAGCGGACCGCTGTGGTGTTGCTGTCGACCAGGGTGCTCGACAGCTGCACCTGACTGGCCTGGGCGACGGGTGAGCCGTCCGGGAGGTCGACGAAGCAGTCCGTCGACCTACAGTTCGACGGGGAGGTCTATGGAGCATCCCGTCGAACTGCAGCTCGACCGGGAGGTCAACGGAGCGTCCCGTCGAACTGCAGCTCGACCGGGAGGCCAACGGAGCGTCCCGTCGAACTGCAGCTCGACCGGGAGGTCAACGGAGCGTCCCGTCGAACTGCAGCTCGACCAGGAGGACAACGGAGCATCCCGTCGAACTGCAGTTCGACCGGGAGGTCGACGGAGCAGTTCTGGTCGACGGAAGGGGTCCGTCGACCAAGGGGTAGCTTGACGGGAGGTGTGGTCGACCAGGAGCGCCCGGTGGTCGACCAGAGGGACCCAGTGGTCGACGGGAGGCACCTGGGAGTCGACCAGAGCACCAGGGGTCGACCAGGTCGACCGGGTAACCTGCTCGACGAGTTCTGCGGAGGCACGCGAACGTCGTCGAGATCGCGATGGCGCAGGCGACTTCGGGCTGGTATCCCGAAGTCGATGTGGCTCGTCAGGCGCAGACAACAGCCGACGGATGCCCAACGAGGCAAGTCGGGCCAATCGTCTGCGCACACCTGCGAGCGCGCGCACTGCTGTGTTCTACGGGGCACGCCGTCGACCTGCTTTGTTGGCAGGTCGCCCTTCTGCAATGCTGGCGCGGCTCCTCTACGCAATGCTGGCAGGCGGTCGACCGAGCTGCGTTGGCAGTCGACCAGGCTAGCTGCAGAATTGCTAGGTGCCTGATGTAGTCATTGTTGTCATTGCTTCTTGTATCATTCTGGAATTCCAACTTTGCTAGTGGAAACTCTTGCCAAATTCTTCCGTGAATATGCAAGCTCTAAGGAACCAAGCAAAGCTAAGATCACCTCTAGTAGTTCGTGCCAACCCCTGTAGTCTAGCTCACTACCGTTGTAGAATTTATCTCCGCATGGTGCGGTGAGCGTGGAACGAACACGCGACCTTCAGATAGGAGCCGACTTTTGCACCTACTAAGTCGTTCGTAGGCCGGCAGCAGCGATAGTCGCCATGGTCGACCCCGTAGTTGATGCGGGCGTAGCGGACACCTTGGAGGCACGCTTGGCTGACGCGAGGAGACGCCACGCGAATGGCGAGTACGGGACGATCCCCTTGGTGATCGCCGAGTTGGGCATCCGATCGCAGTGGGCGACGGAACACCCTTCCCGTCCTACTTCTCCCCGACCGGTGCGCAACGAAGGTGGCGTCGACGACGATGTCGACGGTGGTGCACGAGTCAACGGCAGCGAAGGCACGAGGCAGGGAGGAGTGATCAAAGTCGACGGTGGTGCCGACGGAATCCAGGCGCGAGTGCAGCGGTCGACGGCCACTGCAGGAAGCTCGAATGCCGACGTCGATGTTCGACGCCGTTCTCCTCCACGAAGTGGTGGAGGGCTCTCGGTGATGACACATGTGACAGCGGGCGGGATTGCACCGGCGTATGGCTACTTCAAGTTCTCGCCGGACCGGATCGCCGTCGCTCCGCTGCAAGGTCGACGGGACCTCATCACCTGGAGGGAATCGATCGAACCTCAGCTGGAGGTCGCCGGGCTGAAGGGCTTCGCCGACGGCACCGTGCCAATTCCGCCCGAGGAGGACGTCGGGCTGCGCGGGGAGTTTCGTTCGGCTCACCTGCTCACCTTCATGGTCATCTCGAGGTGCTGCTCGCCGGTGGTGCAGCTAGCGCTGAGGAGCTGTCGAGAGCGACTAGATGCTGGCCACCAGGCATGGCGCTTCATCATGTCGACGTACCAGGTCAGGGACGACCTGTACATCGGGCAGCTGGAGGAGAAGATGACTCACCTTCGGATGGGCGAGCAGGAGTCGGCGACGGATTACTGCAACCGTGCTCGACGGATCCTGGCTGAAATGCGAATGGCAGGCGCCGAATACTCGACGGCGTCCTACATCACCCACATCGTCAAGGGCTTGCCGCGCAACTACAATCTCATGAAGAGGATGATGATGGTGCCCGGCACTCGTGAGTCCCTCGACGAGGACTCCATCACCAGCTACATTCTCCAGGATGAGGCGATGCAGGAGGCAGAACAGCCCACGGAGTTCCTTCCGCAGGCGAGTTACGCTGCACCGACGAAGCCGAATTATCAGCAGGAGCAGCGCGGGAAACAAGGCGGAGGTGGTAGCGGAAGTGGGCGGTCGACGAAGGACGTCGACGAGAAGAGGTCAACGCGGGACAAGGGTCGACGAGGTGGTGGTCGACGGCGGGAGTGCTGGATCTGCGGCGACCCCGACCATCTCTCCTTCGAATGCCCCGACCGCGATGACAGCGACGAGGACGACAACAAGGAAGGCCACGGTCGATCGGCCAGTCGTCGCCCCCGTCGAGTTGAGAAGCCGCGCAAGGAGAAGCAAGCGTCGAAGAAAACGTCCTCGACGAAGGACGTCGACAGCTCCAGCGGCAAGAGCCGAGGCGACGGGGAGGCGTCATGCTCGATGGTCGGCGTGGTGGAGCCGATGGTCTCGCTAGCACCGGAGGCTGGTGAGGACTTCCAGGCGGTGGCAGCAGCTGTGCAGGCCAACCCGATGGCGGTGCTGCTCGACAGCGGGTGCTCCCACCACCTGATGGGGACGAAATCGGTCTTCGTCGACATGGGGCCAAGCGACGGAGTGAAGCACGTGCGTGGGTTCAACGGGGCATTGCAGCCTGTCGAGGGTCGCGGAACCGTCGCCCTGCAAGGGGAGGCCGGGAAGCGGGTCCTCATCCCCGACGTGCTCTACGTTCCGGGTGTTCAGGCGAACCTGTTGTCTGCTGGCCAGCTGAAGGAGAGCGGCGTGCTACTGCAGGGCGATGGCGATGAGATGCTGCTCGTCGCCGCGACTGGAGAGGTGCTCGGTCGAGCACGCTACACCGGACGAGTCCTCTGCACCGACCTTCGCCCCTGCTCGACGCAGTCGCAGTCGACCGAGGTGGTGGCTCTGCGGACGATCATCTCGGGGATGAAGACGACCCCCGATCGGATGCATGCGCGGCTTGCCCACGTCAGCGTCGACACGATCAAGAGCTCGGCGAAGCACGATGTTGCTACTGGGCTCGACATCACGTCGTCAACCGCAGCAGACCTGCCATGTGTCTCGTGCGTCGGAGGAAAGCTGGCGCGACACACCTTCCCCTCCAAGGGCTCGGATGCAGCGGAGGCGCTGGCTGTCGTGCACATTGACTTGTGCGGGCCATTTCGGGTGGCTGCCAAGGATGGCAGCTTGTACTTCCTGCTGCTGAAGGATCGCCATACTCGATTTGTATGGGCAATGCCGGTCGCTAAGAAGAGTGACGTGCTGCGGGAGTTCCAGCGGTGGCTGGTGCTGGTGGAACGGCAGACGAAGAGGTCGGTGCTGTCGCTTCGCTCCGATCGAGGTGGGGAGTTCCTCGGGAAGGCGTTCACCGACTTCGTCGACGGGAAGGGCATCGTCCATGACCTGACATGCCCCTACACTCCGCAGCAAAATGGCATGGCTGAGCGGGAGATGCGCACGGCCGTCGAGTCCGTGCGGACGATGTTGCTGCACATGGGCGTGCAGCACCACTGGTGGCATCTTGCTCTACGACAAGCTGTCTGGGTGCGCAACTGCTTGGAGCGGTCGACGACGCCGCCGGGGACGACTCCGTACCAGCTGCTGATCGGGCAGAAGCCCGACCTTACGCTGGCGCGGGTGTGGGGCTGCATGGTGCAGTTCATGGTTCCCGAGCAGCAGCGTGGTGGGAAGCTGGCGCCGAAGGCTCGCTGGGGACTTCACCTGGGTGTGTCGCCAGCAAGCAAGGGCTGGGAAGTGCTCGACCTGACCGACAACAAGGTGGTCACGTCGGTCGAGGTGATCTTCTACGAGACGCTGTCGCTGGAGGTGTGGAAGGCGAAGTATGGGCCGGCGTCGCAGCGGACGCAGGCACACCCACCAACTGATACATCGACAGCGCCGGTTCCGTTGCTCGTCGAAGTCGACGGACCCGGTGATGAGGATGTTGTGGAGGTTCTTTCCCCTCCCCCTATCTTTGCTCCTCCGTTCCCCGTCGCAGATCGGCCTGGGTCGGCCCCTGTGTCGCCCACCGTCGATGAGGGGAGCCTTGAGGCGTCGCCTGTGGCGCCGGCCCATGGCATCGCCGGCGGTCGACAAGGCTCCAAGCTCGTCGACCAGACAGGGGAGCCAGTCGAACAGCTCGTCGACCAGACAGGGGAGCCAGTCGAACAGGAGGCAACGGCGAGGGTACACTCGACAGGGGAGCAGCAGTCGGAGCGGGCGACAGGAGAGGTGTCGAAGGCAGCAGCAGACGAACAGCCGGTCGAAGGGTCGAAGCAGCTGGTCGATGACGTTCTCATCGACGAGAAAGGGGAGCAGTCGGCGGCTGAGGAGTCCACCGACAGCGACGTGATGGAAGTGCCGATCACGAAGCCTGAGCTGCGACGCACAGGTCGAGTCCGACGGCCACCGGAGCGGTTGAGCTTCCACGCCTGCCTACCGCCAGCTGCCTTCACCACGGTGTACGACGAGGTCGACGACGACCTGCGGTACGACGATGCCGAGGAGGATGAAGACCTGCCGGAGCTCGACCCCGACGTGCATGCCGACCCCGAACACCGTTGGGACATCGCCACGATGACGGTGAAGGAGGCGCTATCGAGCTGGAAGGGCGAGGCGGTGAAGGCTGCAATGGAAGAAGAAATCCGTAGCCTCATCGCTATGGGGACTTGGCAGCTGGTCGAACGCCCACGCGGGGTGAACATTATGAAGAACCGATGGGTGCTGACGACCAAGTACCGCATCGACGACACC